AATACACAACTTTAAAAATGGCGGCCGCTTACATTTAACATAGCCGGGTCTAATATAAATTCGCAGTCAGTAACAGAAATATGAATGGATGGTTGGATTTTTTCTCCTACTAGAATTGTTTGTTTTTATTATTTAAACAAGCGATCAGACATATTTTTTTAATAAAATGAATACTATCGCCACCATTTAAAGTTGATTGTGGAACTTATTTTTCAGCCCATGACTTCTTGTATTTATTGAGAAATTCGACTTTTTTGAGGCTCTAAATGGGGAAAACAGATTTTAATATTAACGTAAATATTAAGGAAATTTCGTTTTAACTTGTTTTTAAGCATAAAATAAAAAAAAAGTTTGTTTGTTTGTTGTGTAAGATGTAATTTCATTTCATCTCGTGAACTTTAAAAACAGTATTCTCACTCGAGGCTACGCCACTCGTGAGAATGCTGTTTTTAAAGCCCGCTCGATGAAATAAAATTTCATCTGACACACAAACAAACAAATATCCTCTATATCTTTTTGCATGTGTCCTCCTTCGTCGCAAAATCAGAGAATAAGGAAACAAAAACAACAACATGAAAGAAATTATTTGTTCAAATAAATGTATTTCCAGAAACGTAATATAACAATACTATAAGCATGTATTCGTTGTCCATGTAATTAGAACAGATATGAAGGTAATACAAGTCTCCTTTAATTTGAAGTTACAATATTTACACTCCTATTTTTTTGGGGGCGATTGTAACATCGCATTTACAACCATATTTAAAGATACTTTTCAAAGTTGTTTTGCAATTGTAACACTCACATTAATTTAAGAAAACAAACACATTTTTGAAATAATACAAACTTATTTGACATGCAGTAAGTCTAGTTACATTATGGGTCATATTAATTGCGATTGTTTGTTTACTATATACTTACACGTAACCAGGAAGGAAAATACGGCCATTTGAACTTCATTTAGCAAAATGACGTTTATATTAATATCGGTGAAGTAGAAATACATTTCAGTCGCAGCATATATAAAGGAATGTTAAAAAATGCAAATTTCATTCTTTATTGATATACATGTAGCTTAATATGATTTTTTTAAATTTTTTTTTTAATCTGTGTTGCACATTGCACTTTGTGTGTGAAATATACATTTGTATCCTGCAACCAATTTCTCGTTACAGCTTGCCTAAATCCTAATGCGCTATTTTTACGTCACCTTGAATTTCTTTGAATTTTCGCGACAAATAAAGAATCATTTTATCTTTTCGAAACTGTCGTCCGCATGTGGTTTCAATCTATCTTATCTTATTTCTACTAGAAATGGCCATGTTATTTTATATAAACATCTTGAATATAGAAGTGGCAGAAAATACGACTTATTTATACTTTTGTTTGTGTGTTTGCTTGCTCGTTATCGTAGCATTTTATGCATAATCATCTTTGAAAACTGTTCTACCACTTGACGTAATATAAACATAAACAGGGGATGTAATTGTTTTATACATAATAAACGAGGTTTTACGTACGCGTAAAATGGCTGCAAAGCATTGGTCAGCTGTGCACTGCATTCCTTTAGAAAAGCCTGTGTAATTTACCCACAAGGTTGGGCCAAAACTGGCAACAGGGTCACGATTGATTCACTAACCAATGCTAGATGCCAAATTGTTAAGTTCTGAGCACTGTATTTCCACACAATAAGATTTTTTATGCTTCTGATGGAAAACTTTCTTTTAAGGTTTTATAAATGAGTTTTCTTACTTCAGTCTATAATGTTCAAGTGACTCAAGGAGCGGGACCAATATTGACGAAAGGGACATGATTTATATCAGTTTTGTGGTTGTACACAGGGAAATGCCCATGCAAAAAGCTAAGCTTAGGCAGTAAAGTTTAAAAAAAAAACCTTAATGAATTTACCGTATGGAAATCTATGTTAACTAAGGGATCTCATAAGAAGGGTCTACATTGACTGAATGGGTATGAATAATATCAGTTCTGTAAAATTTCACAATGCAATGCTAAATGCCAAATATCTAAGCTTTAGGCATAATAATTCCACATCATTAGACATTATTACTGTATTTCTCTATATAAGTCTATATGAAACAGGTCAGCTCTGGGTGGGACAAACATTAAACCAAGTAGTATAATTAGACGCCGCGTGCAGGCGGCGTCTTGCAGATATGCATTTGTCCATAAAGCAATGAGGAAAATTTTAGACTTGATTTTGTGTATTTCTTTTTTTATAACAAAATCACAATGTTTACAAATTTTCTAATAAGAATAGCTTTTCTGATGTACAGCATGTCACAGAGCATTAAGGGATAAAAATAAACGTTTAACTGAAGTGATAGTTCCATGTTTCCGGTGGCACAAAGGTGACATGTGTGTGTGTTTTTATTTATCTCGTGGCCACGAGATAGCTAAGTCGAAAACCAGGGAAGGAATATAATATGTAAATATATTTTAATGCACCAATTGACCTTGTTTGATAGTGCCGTTTCATTCTTGTGTGGTTACGAAAAGTTCTAAGTCATAATTTATTATTTCACTTAATATAATTATATGTTTCAAAAAGCGAATATAGTGAAGGATTATCAATTAATTCGGAAATGTTTTGATTTCACTAGAATTGCACAAAACGTGTTATAACAAGCTCTAGAACTTTACCAGTGGTCGTTTGTAAATGATTCTGATTTGTCTTACAAAGGTAGGTTTGTTACATTATATAAATTATAATCTAATGGAATATATAAATATGTTTGAATCCCCTGTAGTATTTTGTCGCTTCTACATGATAGGTTTGGCTAAGGAAAATTAATTAAATGTTGATAGCAAAACCAGTCGTAAATTTTTGCCAAAATTAGGATGAAATGTAAATACATATTTTGAATTATATTATTTAATATAATACACACACAGTGTAACAATAAGTGCCTCTACACCCCAATTCTTTGACGTGGACATATAAAAACATCGTTTCATTCCTTCGTATTATTTATTCGTATAGTTCAGTAATTGTTTTTCATTTTGAACACAAAATAGTATTCATTGATTTTTTAATGAAAACTTATTTTTAACGCATCTGTCAAGTGTACACAATATAGCATTGAACTGTTTTTCAGATTTTCACAGTACCTAACATTACACATATACATACATGTACAATGTATCAAGATACACATTTAAAGAGGAACAAAAGATTTCTTTAAAGTTTCAACAAATATTATAAATATAATAATTCAATAGTATCTTACCAATGTTGTAAAACAGTATTAATGCCAGACCTATTTTTTTTATTTTATTAGAACATTAGAAAACGATTTATTTTCTGAACTTATTACTTAAGAATATTTAAGAACTTCTTTAACATAAATGAAAGTTTGGATACAGAAATCAACTAACTCCAGTTTCAATTAAAAAATGTAATTATTTTATTTGAAAAATATATGTTTCGACTCAAAAGTCTCATTAGGTATAATTTGTTTACAGGAAATGACGTCAACGTCATATGACGTCAAGGACTACGACGTCAAACTGAAATACATAATTTGGCGTATAATTGTAATATGTAGGATCTTAATAAAAGATACATAACACTGGTAAAGATGCAGTTAAAAGGCAATCTAGAATTAGAAAACCAGCATAAACTACATATTGAAATGAAATTAGTTTTAAGTCATAAGCAAAAATTAGAAAATTACAAAAAAAAATTAAAATGAAGAATTATAATCTACAAAATTAATAAAGTATTTTGGACGTATGCCATCAGGAATAATTTTACCTAGCTTATACATCTATGAAGTTACTTTTAATAATCTTTGCCAATTATTCTGTACTTGATCAGTTGGCATGAATGAAAAATCTTTGATAGAATGCCCTTCAGAATTAAAATGTTCAGATACATTGGTAATAGTGTCAGGAAAGTGTTAAATATCAAATTTGCGACTATTCATTCTTTGGCTACATTTTGCTGAGTTTGACCAACATATTGCTTTTTTACATTTTTTACATGTTATAAGATAAATGATATCTGATGATATACAAAGTCATGCAAAATTACAGTTTATAGGAAATTCTTTGGGTATAGTAGTACTTGAAAAAGTACTAGATTTAACAATATTTTTACAATGAGTACAACGATGTCGATAGCATTTAGATACTGAACCAACCATGAATTTGGCATTTAAATGAGTATGAACTAAATTGTCTTGTAAATTTGTTGGTTTCTTATAAGCAACAATTGTTTTGTATTTGTATAATTTACGTACACTTTAATTTGGAGAAAATTTCAAAAGGCTCCAATATTGGTTAATTATTTTACCTATATTAGGTAAAGATGGATTATATGTACACACGAAGGGGATAATATTTTCACGTTCTTCTGATTTTACTTTTAATTCTAATGTATCCTCCCTCGATAAAGTTAATGCTCTTGTAATTGTGTCTGTTATGATATTTTCTGGATAACTCTCAAATCCCATTTAACAACGTTTCTTTTAATTTTATCTTGTCGCACTTTTAGAATTTAAAAAAAAGTTATGTAAAACTTAAATTGTTCAGTATCAGGATTTGGCAAACACAGAATTGTTTAACTTAGGAAATGCTAATGATTTGATTGCAACATTTTTAATAATACGTCTTTACTAATAAGTAAATAACTAATTAACTTTCTCCAATTCAGATAAATAATAAACTTGAATCATATAATTTAAATTAATAGTAAAAGTTACACCAAGTAAACTGAAAGCATTCAGGTTCCCACTGAAGATTAAACTCCTTGCAAATTGTTTAGTATTCCGTCTCACAGAACTAATCCATATTGCTTTTTGTTTTATCTATGTAAATGTTTAGATCCGAAATTCTAGCACTTGCGTAGTGTGTCTTTCACGGACTACTTTTTGGCATTGAGAGGCCTGATTCACTTTGTTCTAAACTTTGATGAGATAAAACAAATGTATAATTATGACACATAAGTTTATGCGTTTCAGGTTAAGAAGATGAAAGTATACAGTGTTATTTCACTTTTCTCTAAAATAGTATGGCAATATCTATACAGCTTCAAATATCTGTGCTTTGTCTTCATTCCAGTTAAAAACATACATACGCCCCGATCTTAAATCAAAGCACATAGAGCAAGGATCTGTAAGTTCCTTTATAACAACCTTTTCAATCTCACACCTATCATTCAAAAGTGTAACATTTTTCGAATCGTTTCCAAAAGCAAACACTTTCCCATTTCCAGCATCTGCTAGGCCACTACACCATGCTTTCTCCTTTGAAATTATATTTATAATCTCCCCATTATCATTAATACAGAAAAGTTTTCTTCCTTCCAATAAACGGCAAGAAGCAAATATGTTTTTGTTTTTACTACAAACGTATATATTATGAAGTTGACTATGACTGCTTAAATGCTTCTTTACGTTTACGGAGACAGTTCTTAACACTTTACCGGTAAAATCAACTAGGTGTACACTCCTTGGGTCAGAAATATACAGAATATTATCTGAGAAGAATATACCGAAGCAGAAAAAATTTAAATTGATGTCAAAATCAGAGCAGAATTTATTATTTAGTATATAGATCACTGAAACTTTCATTTCATTTGGTAGACACACTGCAATCTCGTTTGTACAACTTCTTTCTATAGCGCAGACATCAGTTGGTCCGGTCTGAAATATAAACTCATCTACAACCTGTTGCTTTCTTACATCAACCAGTTTAATGTTTTTATTGTTACGGTCTGCTAAAACGATTGATCCGTCTGATACAACGCAAGATCCGTATACATCGACCTTGTTTTCGTCTGATGTCAAGCGTATGTTAAAGCTACTTTTATGTACAAAAGTATCTTGCTGTAAATTTACATTTCCTAATACCATCCTTTCCAAAATATTTTTTTTTAGTTTGGAATCTATTTTAAATCGAAATCTTTGTCCAAGTTCAATATGCGAACCAGTTTCATACGCCTGTTCTCTATCGACAATTTCATCTTTGTTTAGTTTGAAAGTCACAAATGCTTGAGATTTGTTTTCTTTTATTGATTCAATGCATTCTTTAACCGTTGAAAACTTCTCATACTGTTCTCTGATTTTGACAGTATTCTCTTTCAGTGTTGACCTCAGGTTTTGATACTGTTTTTCAACTTGATCGATGGCGTCTTGAGCAGCTTGCCTGATGTTATCTTCAATTTGTTTTGCATATGAATTTATCTTGTCGATTTCCGATTGTTCATTTGCCTCTAGATAAGAATCCTCGTTGTTGAATCTGTCAAGAAGCTCGTTAAATTTCTTCTCTAGAGAAACAATGCGTTCTTCGAAACCTTTAACTTCGCATGTTTTTATCATTTCAGGAATGTAGAAAACATCTTTGCAGTTTCTGAAGATAAGATGGTACATTCATCACAACACGTAACATTACAAAAATGTTTATGAAACTAAAACTATAGATTCATATAACACATAAATTATTATTCATTTTCACACATTTATGCAAATAAAAAAATTTAGAACAGGTTTTTTATCAACCATGCGTAAAAATACTATTATAGTACTTGTATTCAACAAATATTGAAATGAATTCTTTACTCTTAATATTTTGTTCCTATCTTGACTGCCCATCACGAAGCAAAACGTATTCAACTGAGCAGATTTGCTTATACACTTATGTGCAATTTCACACACGTTCATGTTAATAAAAGATGTTTTCCGGAAAAAATATAGAGAAAAAATAGGAAACCATTTTTATCATTATCTATTTATTTATTAATCTATTTATTTATTTATTTTTGATGAAAAATAATGGATGAATATAGTGACGTGTGTGCATGTTCGTCATAATGGTGTCCATGTTTGGTCTAAAAACGCCTTGTGATAGTCATTACTATTTTAATATAATTAGGATGTTAGGCATTCAAATGTGTAGAAGACGAAATTCTTATTTATTTGCACTCTAAATTAAAGCATAATGTTCATAGATTCTATATTTTGTTTCAGAAATAAATAGGTTACATTATTTACCTGTGATCCGTGGCCATACAAGTTGCGCACCCGACCTCGTCATGATTCTGGCAAAACATGTCAACAATTTTGTAATGATGTTTTTCACACTTTTCAGTTGGTATCATTTTAAGCTGACCAATTTTGTCATCATTTGTATCAAGAAGGTTGTGGCTCTTCAAAGCAGGAAGCGTTTCGTGCAGTTCCAAACATTGGGAACAGTAGTAATCCTGACAATCAACGCAATATTTGTCAGCTGCTATATTTTTATCTTGCTCTTTACATGCCGAACATTTTATATCACTACTTTCATCAGACGATGATACACTTTTTGATGCCATTATAAAATCTACAATGTTTTGATATATGTTTTAACGTTGTACTTCCAAAAATTATTGAAAATATACAACAACCAGTTCCTTAAATATCACTACAGCAATTATTTTCCTGTCATAAATTATAACAAATGGCTATACTTTCCTATATTCATTATTTTGTACTATTTATCCGCGATCTATCACGCGACACTCTAGTGTTGTGTGATCTCAATTTTGGTCCAGTCTCTCCGCTGACTGAATTGTTTAAATAATGTTTTACGAGGATGTAATACAATAGTATCTTTCTTTCTTTCATCTCTATTAAACTTCTGTTTACAACATTCAGATCATGTGATATTCCGACATGTATTTTGTATTGTTTGTTAGTATATCTTATGTATTGTGTCGTAACTTATCCCCTGTACCTTTGTTAATTGTTATATGTGTACATGTCATATATCATATAACCGCCCTGTTTATTTTCCAATATTTTTTCTCATTTTCATTCATCCTATTTATTCATTACAGTCAACATGATGCGCTCAATGTCATTCTGTAATTCTTAACAATTAATTTCTTTTGGACGGGCCTTTAAACATTTACTAACACGGGTTTAAATGCACGCATGCGCACATTAAATATACTTTTATTGGTTTGCGCCGCGAAGAAGTTGTGTTGCGTTTTTCATTCTACCATTCAATTTGTTTTTAAATTATAAGTTTCCGAGTCATTATAGATAATTTTGTTTGTTGCTTATTACTCATACTGTATTCATTTAATTATTGACATGACATGCGTGTATGGCCGTGAAGTACGTGGGGTAACGGGCTAGCGGTGTGGCGGGTTGGCAGTATGAACTGGGCGGGCTAGCAGTCTAGCGGGCTAACAGTGTGAACTGAGCGGGCTAGCAGTCTAACGGGATAACAGCGTGAACTAGGCGGGCTAGCAGTCTATCGGTCTAGCAGTGTGAACTGGGCGGGCTTGCGGGCCAGCGAGCTCAACTCTAAAACTTAACTGATTGAACATTAAAACGTTATGATACATTTCCTAGCAATGTGAAGTGGACGGGCTAACAGTGTAGCGGATAAGCAGTGTGAACTGAGCGGGTTGGCGGGCCAGCGGGCTAAACTTTAATACTGAACAGAATCAACATGACAACGCTATGATACATTACCTGGCAGTGTGAAGTGGGCGGGCTTAAAGTGTAGCGGGCTAGCAGTGTGAACTGAGAGGGCTGGCGGATCATCGGGCTAAACTTAAATACTTAATTGAATCAACATTAAAACCGTATGATACATTTCCTAGCAGTGTGAAGTGGGCGGGTTGACAGTGTAGCAGGCAAGCAGTGTGAACTGAGCGGGCTGGCGGGGCAGCGGTTAAACTTAAATACTTAATTTAATCAACATTAAAACCTCATGATACATTTCCTAGCAGTGTGAAGTGGGCGGGCTAACAGTGTAGCGGTCTAGCAGCTTTTAGTGGGCGGGTTGGCGGTCCAGTGGGATAAACTTTAATACTTAATTGAATCCACATTAAAACCTCATGATACATTTCCTAGCGGTGTGAAGTGGTCGGGCTGACAGTGTAGTGGTCAAGCAGTGTAAACTAGACCACTTAACACTGCTAGGAAATGTATCATGAGGTTTTAATGTTGATTCAATTAAGAATTAAAGTTTAGCCCGCTGGTCCGCCAGCCCGACCACTTCACACTGTTAGCCCGTTACACTGTTAGCCCTGCCAATTCACACTGCCAGGCAATGTATCATAACGTTTTCATTTTCAGTCTGATAAGTTTTAGAGTTTATCCCGCTGGCCCGCAAGTCCGCACAGTTCACACTGCAAACCCGCTACTCTGTCAGCCCGCCCACTTCACACTGCTAGGAAATGTATCATGAGGTTTTAATGTTGATTCAATTAGTATAAAATTTTAGCCGGCTGGCCCGCCAGCCCGCCCATTTCACACTGCTATCCCGCTACACTGTCAACCCGCCTACTTCACACTGCTAGGAAATGTTTCATAACGTTTTCATGTTCATTCAATTAAGCATTAAAGTTTATCCCGCTGGACCGCCAGCTCGCGCATTTCACAGTGCTTTCCCGCTACACTGTTAGCCCGCCCACTTCACACTCCTAGGATATTATCATAGCATTTTTAATGTTGAATCAGTTAAGTTTTAGAGTTGAGCCCGCTGACCCGCCAGCCCGCCCAGTTCGTACTGCCATCCCGCCACACCGCTAGCCCGTTACCCCGCGTACTTAACGGCCACCATGCATGTGTGTTGCATTTTGTATTCTTTTCACAATTAATATACTTTCATTGGTTTGTAACACGAATTAGATGTGCTGCGTTATTTAAATTGTACTATTCGTTTTTTGTTGTTTTTTTTGTTGTTGTTTTTTTTTTTTGTTTCCATGCCATTACAGGTCTAAACAGTCGCTTTCCTTTGTAACCCTACGACATAGATATAGGTGCAAACGAGGTTGTACACACCGCAACTATGCACTGCATAACTTGAAAAGGGCCGCATAAATTGCTTTATACTGTGGCAAGGCGGGTACGCTAAAGTCAACATAGTATTGTGCCAGAAATCTAATTTTGGTAGTTTTCACTCCGGATCTCAGCAATTAGTCGCATTGAATTTTTCAGAGCACAGTGCAGCTACCGCATCGTTTCTGGGCAGACTGACAAGTAGTAAACCAGTACTAGTTGAAGGAACTGACATCTTCTGTACAAACCATTTCAGAGTTACCGTGCGAAAGAGCGTTGAAAGGATTTCATGATGAATCACAAACAAATCACATGCACCGTGCGGGGGTCGATCCCGGATTAGGTTAAAGGTAATGATGTACAATTTATAATGATTGTTTTTAATAAATTTTGAAGCATCTAAATTGACACTAACAGCAAAGCGGCCGTGTCGTAATTAAATATTTCAGTATGATTATATCTGCAATGCAGGGACTTTGGGTATTCCTCTCGACTTTCTAAGAAGAAAAGAAAGCTCGTTTCTAATTCTTTTGTAAATCTATTCATTTCAACTATTCCGAAAGTGTTCGCTTTTCAAATGTACTTTTTGTCTTTATTACAACAGTGCACGCTTTTCACGAGTACTATATATATTCTGGTTTTTATTGGTAAAATTTTAACAAAAAAGAACCCCATGTATATGTTCATCTGTGGTGTTCTACAGAAATTAGAAAAGTTTCTGATTTCTGTAGAAAAGCTACAGATGAATACTAACATTATTAAGTTGCAAGCTTTATTTGGCCTAATAAATATTCACTTTATTTCGTCTCTACCAGTCCGCTAGATGATTGGTGGGTTTAAATTTTACCTTATATGTACGCATGTTGTACGTCATGCATGCACTATTGTGTTAAAGTTGGGAAAGATGATTGAACAATTGAAACTTATTCATGTATAAACTAAATGTCAAGTGTTCACACGAAGCCACGCGATGTATTTTCCACAAACAACATAATGTCTACTTTCATTTTCTCTAAGTGACTAAATAAAGAGATACTAATTGACATATTGTTTATTGTTGTTTTTTTGTTTGTTGTTTGCTTGTTTACACGTGCAGTATCTTTTTCGCCAAGACATATATTAAAACCTGAACTGTTTGCAGATATCAATACCTTTATCCATTAAAAACAATCAAAGCACTGAAAGTGCTGTATGCGGTTAGCCCGAGAATTGTAAAGCATAGGTAGTCAGACTTTTCTCCCCCTTTTGACACCGAAGGTACTTAAATTAACTGTTAAACCTACCGCCTGTCACACCATTTTGCATACAATTTTACATACAATTTATACTGAGAGATATTTAACCGGTTAACTTTACTTAAAACTCAACTGATAAGAATAGCCTGTCGCCTGCTAGTTCAGAAACAGTTTATCGGTTATTCATGATGCTATGAGGAATTCAGTGCCATTCAAATTCCAGGTGAAATTCAGTGTGCTTCATATTCCATGAGAAATTCAGTATAATTCAAATTCCATGTGGGATTCAGTGTATTCCATGTGAAATGCAGTGCAATTCAGATTCCATGTATCAAATTCCATGTAAACTCAACACAATTTCAATCTATGTACATTTCTGTAATTTTATATCAAATTTGTATTTTTACCATGAGAAATTCAGTATGTTGCAAATCAATCCATCTCTGAATACTGAATAAGGTTTGAAATATAGTCTATTGGGTTATATAATTTGGAAAAGACGGCAGTCTAAAAATAAATATACAGACTTACACCTAACAGCAACTGAAAAAAGACCTGCATGAAAAACATTTACCAGCCACAGGAACTGAAAAAAGGCCTGCATGAAATAACTTCACCAGCCACAGACTAACGATGTATCAAACAGTAAAATGCAAACTAATATGCATGTGATTATACTGATATGTAAAAAATATCAAATCATCCTTTATCCTTCATGTAAACATAAAAGTAGATCTCGTACAAGGCAGTGATCGTTCAGGCATACCGCTAAAACAGCATTGCATAATCTTAAGCTTATAATAAAAATGCAATAATAAAAAAGTGGAGCCAAGAGTTACGGAAACAACAGTCGTGGTCAAGGTGTACGTGGAAATTTCAGAGGTCGTGGCAGTCGTAGTTAGGAATTAACTTGTGGGCTCTGGAATGTGAAAGGATGGAACTGTAATAAGGACTCTGAAAACTACCAAATCCGTGAATCTTGTTTAAATCATTGTCAATGTGATATTTTTGCAGTTGTAGAAACTCATCTAAAAGGGGATGATGTCATTTCCTTAGATAATTACATTTGGTTTGGACAAAATAGAACAAATTTGCATAAAAGGGCTAAATTGGGATCAGGGGGGATTGGTTTTTTGATTAAAGAGAACCTTTTAGATGAATTTATTATTGAAAAGGTTGATGATAAATTTGAAGGTATTTTGTGGATTAAACTCACAAGTCTTTTTGATCCTACCTATATTATATATACATGTGTATGTTATTTGCCCCCGGAAAACTCTACAAGGCAAATTGATGCAAATGAGTTCTTTGATCATCTTTTATGTTCTATAGCTGAATTTCAGTCATCAGCAAATCTTATGTATATTTGTGGAGATTTTAATAGTCATTGTTCTGATAATTTGGATTATATACAAGGTGTAGATAAATTGCCAGACAGAAATGTTGTAGATTTTTCTTTAAATGCATACGGTAATATTTTTACTGACTTTTTAATTAATACAAATTTTTGTATACTAAATGGTAGGAATACAATTAAAAATGATTTTACTTTTATAGGACCCCAGGGTTGCTCTGTTGTCGATTTTTGTGTAGTGCCATATGAGATGCTAGATAGGTTCAGTTCTTTCGAGGTCATTAGAACACTGGACCTGATTACACAAAGTCAGTGCGTAGGTAATTTTATAAATGGCATGCCGGACCATTCAGTATTAAAATGGAAGATGAGTTTAGATGTGTACTTACAAGCTGATCAGGTGAATGTACTAACATGTAATAAAACTATTTTTGATACAAAAGT